ACATTTGAAAACAAAGCATAAAATAGCAGGACGGAAAAAATCCTATTGTTTGAGGCAATTAACTCATACCTGAACAATAGTACTACGATGGCAAGCACCATCATGGAAGATGAATTTCCAACTGCGAGAAATACTGGGAGAGTTGTAGCACAAGGAGACAAAGCGGGAACAAGAATAAGTCCAGCTACAGCCATTTTCTCCATTGGTTGGTTGTGTGAATGACTATGGCCACCCTTTCCCGTCAGAAACAACAGTATATAACTACCACCCAGAAATACAAGTAAAAGTGAAGCAACCTTATGCACTGTTTCTTCACCAGCAATGGTGTTCGCCATGGTAATTGCCGTTATACCAAGCAGTGAAGTGGATATTACATGCAAAATTGCTCCAAGAGCAGCTGCATGAAACAAAATGAATACGGTTAAAAACCTTTATCAACAGAATCCTAGAACAGTCATCTAAGTCTTACTATAAATATAAAGGTAAAATCAAACACCATAATAAGCTACACAAAAGTAAGAATACCACGATGCCAATTGCTCTAGAAGTCCAGATATGAAAGGCATTTGAATGGGATTCCAAAACAACTTTCCAATTCTTATATTAATAAATAGTCCTTGATCATGACAAGGAAAACGCCCATTTTAAGTCATGTGAGCACAATGATCCAGCATCAAATGCAGCCATAAACAAAAATATAATTAAATGACCTCATGCGTGACCCAGCCTTCTCAGCTGCATTTTCCAGACAGCAAGCCGGATTCTTCTGTATACAATCTCTATTGCACCGTTTTCCCCTTTTGTTGCTTCTTTTCTATTGCTCTGTTTACCCACTCAATGTCCAGCAGGCTGGGAAATGGGAACCAACTCTCTTGTCAAGTACGTTCTCTTTTCTTATAATTTTTCTGTGTTTTTCTGTTTGTAATTCATTTAGAATAAAATTCCTGGTTATTTGGTTTCTGGTGTTGTTGTTGACTTTGTTTTGTGCTCTGTTTTTCTATATATAAAGAACAGCAATTTTTGTTTCTGAATTCACATTTGATTTTCTTTTCTTTTTGTTCTTATGATTTCTAGCATTCTGGCCCATTCCCTTTTTTGAACTCCGAATTTTGTTAAAGAATTTATGATTCAAATTGCTCTATCAGTAACGAAGATAGGTAAAAAGAAATTTTTGCAATCACTGGTTGAAGATGAGAGTGTCAACTTTACCATCCATAACATCCAGCAAGTCATTTTCCAAATCCTTAGTTCTTTTACAGCTATCCAAGAATTGATCTTGATATTGAAGCGACAGAAGGCACTTTATAAATGCAATGGTAAGTTTAGTTAAACTGGAGAAATCATAGGCAAGACTTTAAATAGATGATAATGTATAAGATAGCCAAATTGCAAGTAGTCATTATAAAAATGCTCCTAGTAAGTGAATGTTCATTTTTTCAAATTTAAGCAATAAGAAAAAAACCCATGTAAATACTAATGCAAATGACGTTTGCACTAAAGTTGAGTACGGATCACATATACCAAATTTGTAAAGACTTTCCATTACTGAGCTTGACTTGTAGTTTGCCATAATGTGAATATGTAGGTTAATATTAAATGATTTAAATTTATAAAATTTAGTATATAACATTACGAAACTAACATTCTTTTTTTTAAAACTGTAATATAGTTTATTCAAATAAGAAGTAGGATTGATCATAAAATGTTGCAAGACTCACGTAAGAGATCTATCAAGGATATCACAAACTCCAGGTAAAAATCAATCAGTATTTGCTAACAGCAATGAAACAACGTGACAACAACAATTATAATACTTATAAGAAATATGGAATATAATTCACTTAGGAGAAATCAGCGTAAAAGTGACTGAGAGTGACAATGGCAGCTCAGAGAAAGGAGTAAAGAGTCCATGTCCGCCTACCCTTGTCCCCAACCTTATATGTCAAATATATCACACATAGTCAGCAGCATATTTTCAGTTAGTCTCTCTCTCTCTGTTGATTGTTTTAATCCCTCATTATTCGGATCAGCAACCACGCATCCCATTGTTTCAACCAAATCATTTTTACCAGCTGAACTGCTGATGCTATTTTCAGTCATAAAAACTTGGTTTGTATTGAGTATAATATAACCAAGCTAAAGAACACTTTGAATGTCATGGTGTAATTGATCTCATTCTCTTGAATTATATTGATGATAGCAACAAGCGGTTAGTGAGAGAAAAGGGTGGAGATGGCAAAGATGCAGAAGATGATTTGATCTTTAACATGATACCACGACTTGGAAAGAATCTATAAATGCAACTAGCGCTGGTAAGCCTTTAACCTACCCTAGGCAGCAAACAAGATTGAAGCGGGCAGCTACATTTAAGCTTGCAAGCACTAGGGTAAAGGGAAAAGAGGTGATAATAAAACTCCAGTAGATGAAAATGATAATAAAATAGACTTAAATCTTTAAGAGGATGATTGAAGATTCCAATTAACAACTTCTATTGGAATGTAATGTTTTAATTACTTCAAACCTTAGACACTTAAACTTGCTTATTACCTTATTTTTGTTGCTGTACTTGTTAGTTTTCTTAAAAACTACAAATCTTATTGTTAATTATGAATTATGAATATTTCCTAAATTTGACTTCTTCTTTTTTACTTTATCTACAGCACTGCTATAATTAATTATCTAATATCAACATAAAAGCTCAACAACATTAATCTCCCCATCTTGCTTATCACATTTTTGCGGTCGACCTCTTCAAATATCTGAGATTCAATGATTGTTAATTAAGTTCCAAACACATATAAGACAAGGAAATGAACAAATACACACAAACGCACAGAAAAGCGGGAAAATATTGTAGCACTTCAGAAAGCCGTATGCATTCAGATTCCAGATAATACCATCCAAAGGGAAAAGAGGATAAGGAAACTCAATCGCATCACTAGATTCACCTTTATACAACTCATTTATGAGAACAAATTTGTCCTCGTCCCATTCACTCTACTCGCATCCAAACAAGCAAACGCCGCAACAGAACAGTGCTAAAGAAAACCGCAATCCCTAAACCCTAACGAAGTTTCGCGTACCATACACAACAAAAAAACATGCCAAAAGAAAGCAATGAACTAAAATAAAAATGTCGGTGACCTAAGTTGCGCAATTAAAGAGAAGAGTGATGGAAGGAAGAACTTACTGACGATAAGAGTTGTGGAAAGAGTCCATTTCTGCGCGCGACTACAATGGAGAAAGGGAGCCAGTGATGGGAATGAAAGAATGGAGGAGCGAGACGTGGCGATTCCGCCGATGGGGGACAGATCTTCAGCGGTGAAGCCACCCATTGCCCACGAAAATAGAGAATCGATCGTTCAGATCTGTTGTGGAACTCTACAAGCATGCAAGCACTATTTCCGATTGGGATGAGAATACACTAAATCTGAATAAAATGGCGAAAAAAGGTGGGAAAATTCATTCTATATCTATCGGAATAAAATATTGCGGTTTATTTTGAAAAATAAATCATTTGTGGGTACAATAGTGCTATATTACTTCAACCTTATTTTTTAATTATATCACTAGAGGAAAATAAGAAGAAGAAAATAAAGTTATTTAAATTTAAAATAAAAGTTGAAATATATTTTTTTTACTATTAATATTAATGTTTTCAATTTTTTTTTATAATAATAAATGTAAATATTATCCCAACATGTAAGTTATGGAAGAAAAATCATACTTTTGCCAATATTTTCAAGTCTTTTTTAAGTGTCCTATGTTATTGGTTTATTTATATTATTATTATTGATTATAAAGTAATTTAGACTAGGACACATATATTGTAAGAACCTAAAATATATATGTATATATTAAAAGAGATGGGGTGAAAAAACATTATTAAGAAAAAGGGGAGGGGCTTTTTATTAAAAAGAAAACAGTTTTATAGTTTCTGTTAAACTTTTAGAAAAAGAAGTCTGAACTCATTTTCTTAAAAGTGTTCCTCTCTCTAGAAAGCTTCTTCTTCTTCCTCTACCTTCTCTCTAATCTCCAAACTGCACCAAGCCATTGGAATTGTCATTTAGGTGGCGTACCCGCGTCCCAGAAGTTCCCCAGGGAGTAGGGGAGCTCCGTTTTGAACCGAAGTTTTCTTTTCCATTCCTACTGGTAAGCGTTTTTCCCCTTCTCCTCCACTTGTCTTGAATTAGGAATGACACTTTAATGGTTGCAGGCAGGTGGTAGCTTTTCCCTTTAGTTCCTTGTTCATTCTAGCTCAAAGAGTTTTACTCTACCCAATTTGGTGGTTTGTAGGTCCTGTTGAACTTGTTTCTGTGTGAGGGTTACTGTTTTGGGGCTTCTTCTAAAAGTGTTGTGCTTATAACCACCAAGGTAAGGGGAGCTAGTTCTACTCTTGATTTTACTGTGTGTGGAGTAATGCATGATAAAAATTTGTAGGTGGTTATTGTTGTGTGTGGAAGCATTGAACTTGGTTCAGTAAACTGAAATGCATGTTTGGAAGTGTTGTGTTATGTGAATTGGTGTGATTGATGCGATAAAATGTTTGAATGACTTAGAATGATGCAATTGTGTATGGGGAACTGTTATGGCATGGAAATTTGTGGGGTAGTGCTGGTGAGAAAGGAAATCAAAGGTCTTTAGGGTCAATTTTTAGGGCATTTTAGAGGGAGGAAGGAGAGTAGTGATGTGAGCCCCAAAATGAGGTTGCAGCGTTATGGACTGTTGGGACGTTTTATCCACTGTATTGGGACTTGTTTGAGTCACTAAATGGTCAAAATTAGTTGAAAAAGAGGTAAGGGTGGTAAGATAAGGTTTTGGGGTCTATAAGTTGGAGAAACATGTGGTTTTAGAGTTAGAAAGGAGTGTGGTGGTCAAATTTAGGGAGTTAGGCATTCTTGGTGATCTAGTCAGTGTAGTAAACTTAGGTAGGTCATGTGTGACTTAGTAGGCATGTTTAAATGGTTTAAAAACCAACTCCAAGTTGTAGAATGAATTTAGGGACCTCTAGGTTGATAAAATTGAAGTTGTAGAACCTTAAATCAAGCATAAACACTTTATAAAATGTTAGAAAGATTAGAATTGTTTAAGTAAGTTTAATTTAGCATGAAAGTTGATTTATGAGTGGTAGAAGTTCACTAAAATGATTAGAATTGGTAAAAGGGAGTTAGATTTGCTCAATTATGCAGAAAAATCTGCAGAATTTAGCTTCCTCTGCAGACAAAATTCGCATAGCGCACAGGGGGGGTGCGATGAGCGAATTATGTAGGCAATTGAGTGTTTTCGGTTGTTTTTTGATTGTTTGGGAGTTCCGGACGTCCGTTTTGGACGTTCTTTAGTTCGTTCTGGGGTTTTTGACCCTTCCGGAGCCATTGGTGAGGGTCTCCAAGACTGTTTGAATGACTTAAAGTATTGTAATTTAAAAGTCCTAAAGGGAAATTGTCTTAAAAGTGATGGTTTGTGCAAGTCTGTAAGGTAGAGTTTTTTAGACATGGTTGATGTTGTATGATGGTGTATGGGTTTGGTATGAGACAATATAGTAAGAATGCACTTGAATGACTATGAAATTTTATGTTTATTGAATCAAAGTGGTTTATGAGGTACATTATTGATCCAAGAGGAATATCATGTGATTTAAAGTGGTCGGATTGAATATGAAATTAAGATCTCTTTGGTGGGATCAGGAGTTAGTGTATGAATGATATGTGAGAGGCTTCCATATGGAGGGTTTATCCCTACACTCCAACGGTTCTTTCATTCTCACTTAGGAGATGATTGACGCGTTGTGTGGTGGGAGTAGTGGAGGTTCCTAGGGTAGGCGCTATCACTGAAGGGTCTATTCCGCGTTGGTAACGGGACTTAGCCTTGGTTATGGCGGGTGGAAACCCTCGGCAATGGCTTGCAAAGCAGTAGGGGCCATCACAAGTGCACAACCCGCCCCAGCTCTACATACCATTCTATGTCCGGACGTGTTAGAGTCTTAACATGATTAAGTAGTTGTCTTGATGAGTTTTATGAAAATAAAATGCTTGTGTTTATGATGACTAAGGTGTTATGTGTGTATGGATATTTGGGAAAAGGAAATGCTAGATGATTGAAAATGAATTGTATGATTGTTTGAGACCTAGCTCACCCTTTCATTTGTATGTGTTGCATGTGTTTGCTTTCCCCCTTGCGATGATCATCAAATCCTTTGGATGTGAGCAGTAGGTGATGATGTACCTTGGAGCAAGCTTTGGAAAGTTGAGGAAGACCCAGCCATAGTGCCTAGGATTCTAATAGCTCTTCATTTAAATAGCTCTTTGATTTTGAAAGACTTCTAGCCTTCATTTTATCAGATCTGATTTTGGAAAAACCACTCTTTAGGTCCCATTTGAATCTTATCATTAGTATTTTGGAGAAGAATTATGAACTGTACTAAGTTTCAAAACGTTCCCCAGCAAGACCCCCCCGCGGCTGCACTCTGACCATCTCACTTACGTGGTACTCCTCACACACGGGTCCCCACCCCTCCTTCACACTTTGCATTGTACTCTTAACGCTTTCTATTATTATATCGATGAATTCTACAGATATACATGGCTAATATTGGAGTTACATATATAATATTAAAATATTATTAAAAAAATGTTGTTAAACCATCATTTTAAAATTTTAAAATTTCAAAATTGAGTTTAATGCAAAATTTGGTAAATAAATGTATTAGAATTTAAAATCTGATTATGTGAACATAGGAGGAAATTCAGTTTGAGTATTCAGTGGATTGGAAAATTCGATTGAGTTAAAAATTCGGTAAATGTGTACCAGATTTAAACACGTTATCTTCTATTAATTACAATTTTGTGAATTTTATTGATTTGAGAGTAAGATACATATAGTACTATAGAGAACAGACACGCACCTGTACGAACTCCTTCTTAAGGAAAAGAACGAGAAGGAAAATTTATTGAATGATCGAAACAGTGGCTTGGAGATTACAACCATTGGCTCATTCCTGGGGTAAAGTTGGCGAAGCAGTGGGAAAGTAGGGGTAACTTTAAGTGCCACTATAGTGGGAAGGGGGGCAGAGGCAGGGACAGATAAGGGGGCGGCGGCCGGGGAAAGGGTGGAGGAAAAGGGGGAGGAACAAGGGGGGAGAAAGGGGGAGGCTGAGGGCGCGCACCGCGGCAGGAAAAGCAGGGGGAGGAGATAGAGGAAGATTATACTATATATATATATATTCATTTATATGATAAAAGAAATTTATATTTAATAATACATGTGAGTAAAAAATGTAGTTTGTTAAAAAATTGATGTTACCTTTTTTTTTTTCACGATACAACAAGAATTACAGGACTCTAAAAGATAAAGATACAAGATTCTAAAAGACAAAGAGTAAATGAACAAAACATCCCAATCAGGTTCCATGGTAATGGCAATATTAGTACCATGGCCTTTGCCTATCCACCACTCTCCTTAGCGGACTT